ACAAACTTCCTACAAGGCTAATTGGTCGATAGTCTTCAACACTTTCCGGATTTAAAATTTTCGGAATTAGGGTAATAAAGGCGTGATTTACTCCATGCTCCCACATCCTTCCGAAATAAAAATCGTTAAAAAATTCCAGTACTTGCTCCTTTAAATCTGGCCAGCATTTCTTGAAGAAACCCATTGTAAAGCCATCCGGACCAGGAGATTTAGAACTGTCCGAGGATGTTATAGCTTGCCAAACTTCCTGTTCTGAAAACTTCTCCTCTATTTTTGTAGATTGTTCCCTTGACAGTTTAGAAAAATCCAGAAATAAGTTCTCCACTTCCATTGTAGAAATGTAATTAAAAGCTGTCTTAAAAAAATCAGAAATGTGGGTCTTGATCAGAGACGGGTCTGAAACTACAGTCCCATTAATCTTCAGACTAGTAATTGCATTTCTCCTGTTTCTGTTTAGTGCACACAAGTGGAAAAATCTAGTATTTCTGTCCCCACCTTTGATCCATCTTGTTCTTGCTCTTTGAAACCAAACACTTTCTTCAATCCTGTACAACCTCCAGAGATTCGATCTAGACTGCTTCACCTGTTCCCACTCTTGCGGAGAAAGATTACTACCTTGTGCCTTTAATTCTAACTCATTAATTCGCCCTTCTAAAGTTTCGATAGAGTCTGAAATCCCATTAAATTTCCTGCTTGACCAGTTTCTGATTGACTTTTTAGTTCCCTGTAAAATACTGAGGATACCCCTTCAATTATTCCTTTCCATCAAGTCAACCATTGAAGATTTAACCAAATCCTCGAAGCCTTCTTCCTCTAGTAAATAATTGTAAAATCTGAATGGTTTAGGACCCCAGTCTACATACGAATCCTCCAATGACACCGGATTATGATCTGATATGGACCTAGGCAGTAGCCTTTGAACTACGTCGGACAGCAGGTCAAAAATTACCAGAAATTAAGAACCTGTCAAGCCTAACCCAGGTTGATTCTTCCTTGTTGTTACACCAAGTAAAAGTTCCTCCCACCAACGGAAGATCAATTAGATTAGTTTGCTGCAGAAAATTCCTAAATATATCAACAAAATGCCAATTTTGAGACCTTCCCATCTTCTCAGCCGGATCAAGATACGTATTAAAGTCCCCCCCAATACAAAGTAGATTCGATTGGGCTGAAACAAACTCCAGTAATTCCCTGTAGAATTCATCCTTTTCAGATTCAGTGGAGGGACCATAAATATTCATAATCACACACTCCTCAACAACATTCTTAAACTTCCCAAATATTGCAATGATCCTGCTACTTAAGTAACTACTGGACACTTTAAATTCATTATCATTCCACATTACCAGCAAACCCCCTGCAGACCCAACAGCTGATGAAAAGATACATCCCTCGAGAAGACAACCCCCTACCCTTCTCCTTAGTGCCATAGAACAGTTTTCTAGCTTTGTTTCTTGAATAAGTAGAATGCTCGGCTTATTCTTCCTGACTAATTTAGCTACAGCTCTTGTTTTTTCCTTCTTCCCCAACCCCCTTATGTTCCACGAAATAATATTAATGTTACTCATAAATATAACAAATATCCCAAGAAATTCAACTCAAAAAAGCACAATAGCACACCCCCTTATTTCAGCAATTCCTACTAACCCCCAATCCTTCCTCAAGATCAATAATTTTATCTAAAAACACCTTCTTGCCTTCTTTAAATGAGATCCCCAGCAACTTACTAACCTCCCACGTAGCCACTGCTTCTTCCAAAAACATCGAAAAGGAGGGAGAAGAAACTGTGTGTAAATTAGCCACCTCCAAAGCTTCCCTAGTCAAAATCCTTCTCTGTCGCCTACTCTCTTTCCTTATAACTGCTCGAGACTGACAATCTGATCGAGGCACTACTCTGCTCCCTGAATGTTGGTCCAAGTCTCCTACTACACTTTTAAAAGGACCTCCTTCCTCATCGTCGCTAATTATTCCATCTTCCTCTAAAATTGGGAGCGGTTGGGTGGTCAATAAAGAATTGGAAGCTTTTCTATTATGGTGCAGTACCTCAGCTGGTCGCAACAGCTCTTCTTCTATCTTTGGATCATACCAGAATTTTCTATCTTTTGATCTTCTATATACTCTATTACAAGTTCCTCTATTCCCTCTTCCCACCGGAACACTCGTCAAAGCCAAACTTCTGGACAAATAAACCAACGGACTCCAGCTCCTCTGACCATTAGGAAACGTCCCCTTTCGTACTTCCATTGGTTGAGTTCCAACAGTTTTGATTGAAACATCATCCTTTTCCTCCTCCACTCCTTTTGCGTTCGTAACCTCATTGTCCAAGGCCACTACGTCCTTTATCGATTCTTCATTGGACTTGATCCATTCCCTGTTTAATTGGGGAATAAATCTGCCTTTGGACCCTTCGGCAATCCATTTCAGATTATACGCAGGCCCTGGAGGACACATAATCTTCATGCTTGATTCAGAAATCAAACTGTTACAATCTTGGGCTTGAGAGTCTAGGCCCAATTCTTCCCTTAGACCAAGTCCAACATGCTCCCCAGCAGGATATTTTCCTTTTTCCCGCAAATCTGACAACCCAACGTCTAAAATATTCATATTTGACTTTTTTGGTAAAAGCTGCTCCCCATCCCCCTTTTGCAACCTACTCCTCTGCTCCTGATCATGCCAGTTGTCTTTCTTCAGCATAGAGTCTTCAGAAGACTTAAAATTTTCAACTTGTTCCAAAGTCAGACGGCGGCCGCACTCTTCCTCGGGAAAATGATTTTCACTGTACCCGTAATTTGAATTTTCACCATCAATCCCCCCGGAAAACTCCTCCGGTTTTAAAAATACCGATCCCAGTATGGCTTTGACCTTGAAAGATCTGCCGTAAGACCCTATTGTGACCATTTCAGGGACATCAAACGGACTGGCGACCCTGATCAAAACTCTTGCTGACGATAAATCTGACCTATTCTTTGAAGAATCCAAGATGCCAATGAACTTTCCCCATTTCTGAACAAGTTTCTCCAAGAACTCTACATTCCAGCATAATAACGGTAATCCCATCAATTCCACGAGACAGAACGCCAATGGAACTCCCTCCTCGTTTAGCAATGGCTCCAGCCAATCAAACCCAAAACAGATCTCCTCCTGTTTTCTTGCCCATGTGTCAGAGTAGTCTTCAATCGATTTAAAGGTTACAACACAGGCATTCCATGCGTAGCCCCATCTCGCTATTTTTACCTGAATTCCTTCACTTGCCAAAGCTTTTTGAACAAATTCTTGCTCGAAGGAATGCTTGATTACCCCTGTTAAAGACCTTTTCACCCAAGTCGAATCCTCCGAGGAGATATGCATCTCCCAGACATTCCTTATCCCATTAGCAGCCTTCCTTATCCTTTGACCATCCTCTTTATTGACATTTCCGCAATCCTCTCTATTGGTTGTTTCCACCACCTCTTTGTATGATCTACTGTCCCTCAGGTTTCTCAAAGATCCAGCTTGCTTCTCACCATTTGTTTTCTCCACCCTTATTGGGATTGGCCCATCCCTCGTAGACCTGCCTTCAGTAACTTCTCTATTCCTGTTGTTCTGATATTTTTCTAACCCGACTGAAACTTTTTTCCCATCGATCCAAGTTCCGTTAACACCCTGAATAGCCCTCCTCCTCCCTTCCTCACTTGCAAACTGGACAAACGCGAAAGTGTAATTCTTGTATTTCGGTTTCTGAGTAAAATTTGGAATGAAAATCCTCACAACTTGATCGTAATGCTGAAATATTTCCCTTAATTCACCTCTTGTAACCCTCTTGCTAAGATTATCAACGAAAATCGTCCATTTCTCCCCCACAACAAATTGACCATTCGCTCCTTCTCTCTCTAATTTTTTGACTCTCTCACTCATATCTTTTTTCTTAACCTTTTGGCTGCATAATTTCTAATTTACTTCACTTTCATGCATTGAATTTTTCATGTTATACTGTATTTATATTTATATTCTTTGCTAAGTTTTGCCTTTATATTTTCTTTTCTTAGGCATCAAGTCCTCAACCAAGTAGTCAGCAAACTGGTGGAACATTGAAGACATTAAAGGAGAAATTTGGGCAGTCTGAAAAGGAGGTGCAGGAGGCCCCTGCTTTGAAAACTGCTGGTGCTGATAAAGAAATAACTGCAGGTCTGTTTATTAACTCACTCACTTTATGTTACTTGATTATAACTTAAAACTGAAGTTCTTGGTAATGCTATTTTTTAGCATTGTTTTAATGCTGTGCTCTTGAATACTGTGGTCATTTATAGAAAATTTACATGCAATCTTATATTGTTAGTAGAAGTGTAAATATTAACTTCTGAGGATTGGAACTGCTTTATTCGATTTAATATGCTCACTGTAAGTAAATTGTGTTTGTGATGGTGTACGAAATTTAACCCATTCAGTCGCATTCTAGATTTAAAATTTTGCATTTGTTTAAGTAGTTGAAAAGCACTGCATGGAATGGTGTTTTTATTTCTATTTGTGCAGAATACTCTGAACCCCAGTGGCCTATGTCATTCCCTCCATCATCTTCTTTCTTGTGTGTTATATGTGGAAGCTAACATATGTTTTAACTATCTGAAATATGGGCTTCTGAATAGAATAAAATTTGCCTTCTATAACGATTATAGCTCTCCGTTTTTTTTCACTAATCGTTGATGTGTTTTATTTCTTTATGTTATCTGTTAACTGTTATCTTGAATTATATTTAAAAAATTCCTTAGACGTTGCATTTTGTGGTACACAATGTGTTAAAACTTTCATGGATAATTGCCTTTTCACAATTTTTCCCAACCCTCTGCACTTTTATAATTGTTTAGATGTGGAGGACACTACAGTCTTATTTAGTGTCTCTGACTGTGCTGCGACAATTTTTATTTATTTATTTATCTGCAGGGTTCTTGCTGAAGAAAAGTGCTAAAACTAACGGATGGAGTAGGCGATGGTTTGTTTTGAATGAGAAGACTGGAAAGGTTTGAAATTTTTTCTCATCTTGTTAAGACACTTAGATCTATTTGCAAGTCGAAATGGCACTATACATAGTGTCCCCTGTGCTATAAGCCATTATAAGAACTTTATTGTAATTATATTTTCATGTGGGTAGTATCTCCTTACTAAAGCTTGGTAATAAAAGTTGCTTGATGCTTATAGCTGTACCATTGCCATATGATTTAGAAATGGATCCTGTTTTCCAAAACAGAAAAAGATAATGATGTTATTGATATATGTCATCTGTGCTTGTAAAAATTGTGTGATTGTTATCCAGTGATGCATTATTTTGATAGAAGTTTGTAAATGGTTGAATGGGTTTTGACCTGTCCATTTGTCAGCTTGGCTACACCAAAAAGCAAGAGGAAAAACATTTTCGAGGTGTCATCTTGTTAGAGGTACGAAGACATTTTCTTTACCTTTTGGTTTTGAGGCCACTGTTTTGTATCTGCTAAATGTTTTCACCATTTCAAGTAATGAGCCTGATAAGTGTTTTGGTCTGTTACGTATTTTAGATTACAACTTTGATGTGTAAATAAGTGTATGTATATGCATATTACATTTATTAGTGTTTCAATCATAACAAAACTGGAATGGATATAATGTAAAACTAAAAGTAGTATATGTGGTAAAATTTGATCTCCTTATGGCTTATACATCTAAAAGAATATTTTACATGTATTCTTACTTTGGTATACTATGGTTCTCTATATGACATGTTAAGCATCTTGTTTTTATATTGGATGTATTAAATTTTCAAGTAGATCTTTCTATTACCTCATTGAAGTTTCCGCCCATTGTAAATTTTGGGTAAGGTGTTTGAGGCATCTGTTTTTTTTACAAGAACCTCGACTTTGCCAGAAATCTTATAATTCTGTAATTGGCGTTTGGGAGTCTGCTTATAGGTAAGAATTGAAATTACAAAGTGATATGATATATAGGCTGCTTTAATGATCTCAAAACAAAATATTTGGGGTCTCAGCATTTACACACAACCGTATATGGTTTCTTTTAAAAGGTTGATATGCAGATGTACTTCAAAAGCGTTTTTAACATTTTAGTCTTGGGAGATACTGATGTATTAGGGTCAATTTTAGCAATGATATAGATGGGCTATTCTGCTCTGCTCTTAATTGTATCGAGTTTTCATCTTTTATGCCTAAGGGATCTTCCTGTTACCTGCTGTTGATGTCGTCGAGTTTATTGTGTTTTCTCGACTGTCATTTGCCAGTTATTAGGACTTCACCTGTCTGTGGGCCTGCCAACTTTTGGATTTGCAACTTTTATTATGATTCATGACATAATTTTCCATCTTGATTTGTCCTGTGCAGGAATGCAGCATTGAAGAGGTTCAGGATGAGGAAGAGCCTGCCCCAAAAAGTTCGAAGGATAAAAAGGCCAATGGCCCAGATAAGCAACCTAGTCTTATGTTCAAGATAACTAGCACGGTTCCTTATAAAACTGTTTTGAAAGGTGTGTTTTCCTTCTCTTCCTTCCTTCTATTGAATCATGTTATTTCTTGACCCTCTCCTTTTTGTCTATTATGCTTTCTGTTATCGACAAAATCATTTATTAGAAGATTCTTTGCAACCTGTTTCTCTTGCAGCTCACAGTGCTGTTGTGTTAAAGGCTGAGAGTATGGCTGATAAGGTTGAATGGATGAACAAATTATCAAAAGTTATTCAACCTTCTGTAGGGCCAATGAAAGGTGTGGCTGATGGCGGTCCTGGAATGCGACAGAGTCGTTCAGATGGTTCTCTTGTAAGTTGATTAATCTTATTTCCATTTCTTTTTTTAAGGAAAAAAACTTGGAAAAGATATTTTGTTCTCCCAGCTCAAATATTTGCTTGTTTTCTTTTCCTTGGAAGTTTCGTTTCAAGAATATATTTTAGGACCATCACAGCCTTCTTTTCTGCATTTTATCAGTATATCAAATGTTTGTTATTTCAATGGCTTATGTGATTGTTTATATCTCAGCTATGTTGACTGTATTCATGTCCTCAACCCCCATCCTCTCCTTTACTTTTAGAGTTGCACCTTAAATTCTCCTTCCTTGTCGTGTGCAGGATACAATGGTTCGAAGACCTGTTGATCATGAAGGAGAACTTCGATGGATGTCTCAAGAAGTCCGTGGTTATGTTGAAGCTGTATTGAACAGTTTAGCTGCCAATGTCCCCAAAGTAAGCTTAGTTCTTCAACCCTTAACCCATCTATCCTGGCAGTGGAGTGTGAGAAGGCTTATATCTATTATGTGATGGTTGAGCAGGCTGTTGTCCTTTGCCAAGTAGAGAAAGCTAAGGAAGACATGCTAAATCAGTTATATAGCTCTGTCAGGTTGATTACCCTTCTATTTCTATTTCTTTGTGTCCATGAAACTCTTTCAGGCCTCGCCTTGGGAGCAGATGTGTAATCCTTTTTTGTGGACTCTCGGTTTGCATAATCTGCCATGAAGAGAAATATTGTAATCTTCTTACGTGTTGCTTACATAGAAATCTTTGCTGAATATGAAATGTCGTTCGAATGTGTAGTGCTCAAAGCACGAATAAGATTGAGGAGCTTCTTCAAGAGGATCAAAATGTAAAGCGCAGAAGGGAACGTATCCAAAAGCAGTCATCACTTCTTTCGAAATTGACACGCCAGCTTAGCATACATGACAATCGAGCTGCTGCTGCTTCTGATTGGTCTGATGGTGGGGCTAGTGCAGGTGTGTAAATACTCTTTATTGAAGGCTGAATTTATATTTGTTTGATTTTCAAGTGCCAAGGAGACACTGCTATGCCGTCTGGAGTATCTGCTTGTTGAGACCTCCAAAAAGCTCCATTTCCATATGTTTCTGTTGAGGGCACTGAAATTCTCCATTTCCTGATGCTTTCTTACCATGAACCTCACCAAATATTCACAGTTTCGCATCAAGTACCTGTTTTGATTGAGACTGGCTTCGGGTTGATTGCTATCAACTTCTTTCTGCTCTTTACACCGATAGTCTTTATATTGTGTTGACATCGTAAATCTTTGGATTATCGTGTTTGCAGAAAGTAGTCCAAGAACAAATGGTTCAGCTGGTGATGACTGGAGGTATGCATTTGATGCAGCAGCTGCTAGTGGCCCTGTGGACTACAGGAGGTCCGGGTCTAATGGTCCAGCACAGAACGGTGATGTGAATTCTCGATCGGGGTCCAACAGCCGTCGTACCCCTAACCGTTTGCCACCAGCACCGCCGCCGTCTGGCTCTGGTTACAAATTTTAGTGGCTAGACGAGAGATGGGTGTGTAAATAGGACCTATAGTCGCTGCTGTATTTCAGGTTCAACTGTGGATCGATTATTTTTACTCAAGTTTTGTCATATTGTTTTTTCTTTCTTCTTTGAGGGGGTTATGAGTTTCCCCTTTTTATAGTCCGAATTCCATCCCCGCGGATTTATTTGATTGTATCGACGGTCTCATGAACTGTTCAATGGGTGAAGGATACTGTACTCCTCAATAACATGCTTCGTGTTTGTTTTCCTTTTAGTTCTGTTGATTTGCTACTAAAATAAATTCAATTGCTTCAGATTGCAAAGCAAAGCAAAGCTAGTTATTAACTTTCTTTACGCAAATTTCTAAAATTTTATTTATTATACAAGGTTTTGCCTGTGAGTGTGCATTCGTCATTCGTAATGTTATGATTCTCTAGCTTATAAAATTAATTCAATAAAAATAATTTCAATATGATCTTTGAATTATTTTCCTTTACCTTGCTTCTAGCCTTCTAGGTATGAATTTAAGGGTTTTTTTTTGGCTCAATAGGCAACTCGATTTTGTTTTTGTAAAATAGGACATTAAAAAAATTGTAAAATAGAGCATAGTCATCGTTATTTTGAGATCTACGATATTATTTTATAGTGTTCATTGAATTTGTCACCTTGAGATGACGGATTCCAAAAGATATTATTATTATATTTGAGGTACAATATTTAATTATTTTTTTTAAATTATCTTGAGGTGAAGAGTTTTATTAAAAATATTATTTTTTAATTATAATTATTTATTTTAAATTAAAAATTTTAGAAAAGAAACTCGTCACTTGTAACCTCTAAACCCGACCTACAAGAATTAAGTTGAATATAGAGAGATCATAAACTAAATTTCCCAAAATCTTATCCTAACTTTATTTAAAATACACTGAAAATTTACCCTCGCATTTATAGATTTCAAACACTTAAAATAATTGAAATAAATAAATAATAATGAAAAACATAAATCAAATATTTATTGAATTCAAAATTCAAGTCTTCCAAAATAGAATTTATGTTTAATGTCCCAAAATAATTAAATATAATAAATAATGTCCCAAAATAAATATTAATTAAATGAGCAATACCAAACCCAAGTAAAAATGTCATACTAAATAAAATAAAATTAAGGTAATATCACAACTCTAAGTATTGTTTCTCCTAATCCGGTTATCTAAAAGAGAGAAATTACGATGATGTAAGCTATAAAGCTTAGTGTACCTTTAAAGTGCATCGATCTCAAACAAGACATCACAAATCAACATACAATTTGATTTAACAAAATATTCACAATCCGACTAAATATGCAATGAATGTGCACATAAACACCTTAAAACATTTGAAGAGTAGGTTTCCCAAAACCACTCTAACTACTACGGGTGTTCAAATTTTCGAACTAATTCGGTTAATTCGGTCGGCCACCGAATTAGTTTAGTCGGTTAACAGTTAATAAAATTTTTAGAATTCGGTGAACGGTTAATTCGGTTCGAAATTGGTTAATTAACCGAAATTAAATTTTAAATATATTATATATAACATATGGATTCAGCCCAAACCATTTAAAACTCAATTAATAATTTAAGATCCAATAACTTTTAAACCTAAATCAATATTAATTAATTAAAAAATATATATAAAATTTTTATTTTATAATTATATATCATTTAAATTAATTGTAAACTATTTTTTTGAATTAAAAAATATTAAATATATTATATATAACATATGAGCTCATCCCAAATCATTTAAAACTCAATTAATAATTTAAGATCCAATAACTTTTAAACCTAAATCAATATTAATTAATTAAAAAATGCATATAAAATTTTTATTTTATAATTATATATTATTTAAATTAATTAGAAACTGTTTTTTTTGAATTAAAAAAATATTTAATTATATATAAATTAAAAAATTTTAAAAATTTTCGGTTAATTCGAAACTTAATCAAATTAACCGAAATTTATTCGGTTCGGTTAATATTTTCGAAAAAAGTTCAATTCTATTAATGATTAAAAAAAATTCAGTTAATTCGATTCGGTTGACCACCCAATTAATCGAATGAACAACCAAACTAACTACTAACACAATCAGAGGTGGGATCCACCACAAAAGCAAACCACTAAATCTAAAATGAAATTCACCCGTCGGTTGAAAAATACTGAACTTTTCCTATCAATCCAAACTCAGTATGACATACAAATGACATACATATATGATATCCGATTCGAATAATACATATCCAAATAACACATACTCGAATATTATATACTTCCAAATTTCAATCCGATCCGAATGAGAATATAGCTATATAATTCCAGAGTCCGAACACAAAACATAATCCAAATCCGATAAATATCAAATGTGACATAACATAATTTCCTAAATTTCAACTGTCAAGCCACAACCATCGTATTCGAAATTAATTTTCAATCAACATATTATAAAATAATAATTAATTCAACAATATCACAAAACAATCTTGCTTCCACTTAAATTTAAACAATCAAACAATTATCGCATACAAGATTTAGCGTTAAATAGAAACACACTCAGAACACACCCAGACATTAGCACTTCCCACGATTAAAAATAATTCTCGGTTAGAATTAGGAACCGGGCCGTGGGGTTTGATTCGAACTAAATGGACTGCCGAACAATGATGGTTGCACCTACTGCTGCCCCACGACTGTCGGTGACAAACACCATGGCAGCAGCCATGGCTTGGTGGAACGACAACCTCGGCTGCCCAAAGGAAGCCCAAAACGATCGGAAGGTACTTGGTAGTGGCCACCCATAGCCGAAGAAGGTAAGACACACCCTTACCAAACCGGTGCGACCTTCTTCACACGCGGTCCAACCACTCGACGGCCACAGATGACAGCGATACCACGATCAGTGGCGAGAGAGGTCTCGGTTTAAAGTCTTGAACAGTGACGCACAACGAACTAAGAAAAAAGAGTGGAGGGTCGGGGTCGGACGTTCAACGGTGACTTACCTTTGCACGGAATCGACGAGAATGACGACAAAAATGGATGGTCGGCAGCGGGGATAGAGTGAGTTGGGAGTAGCGGAGCAGTAAAGGGAAACAAAAAGATGAAAAGAAGTTGGGGGCGCTGTTCGTGAAAAAGGGGCAGAGAAAGAATTGAAATCTAATTAAAATTGGTTTAATTACAAAGTTAGTCATCAAACTATCTAGGATTTACGAAATAAGATACAGCTTTTAAAATATTTACATTTCATCACAAAAATCAATATAGGAATTTAGGTTAAAATTTCCCAAATTCTAGGGTTTTAATTTGGGATAAAATTGGGGGTGTTACATAACCTCGACATGACAAGTTCCTTTGGTTTTGAATATATAGATGTTTTATAAATGTTTGAAAAGTAACTGTTTATAGCTGTTGGAACTCGTCATGTGGGTGAGTTGATAGAGTTATATGAGAATCAATTCATGCATTTGTGGAAAGAATATTTTTCAAAATTTTTGAACGATCATTTTGGGTCTGATTACTCTACAGTGATGATTCGGATTCAAGCTTGTCTTCAGATGAGGAGTGGGAAAAGTCAATAAAGTCGATACTTGATCAACATAAGAAGATGAAAATGGAGGAGTAGGAGGAGGAGAAGAATAAAAAGAAGAATGAAGACTTACCAAACCAACACAACAAACGATTTATGGAGAGGAATGAAAAAAAGAAAAATAATAGTATAAAAATTGAGAGGAAAAAGAAGAGGAAAAGTTGTTTATTTTGTTGAAATAATGTTTTAAATATATGTATGAATTTGTGTTTAGTTAAACGTTATTTATGAATATTTTGCAATTATATATGAAAAATTAAAAATAAAGATGGTTATTGATAATGATAAATTATCCAAAACATGTACAACATACAACATGAGAATACAATTACGAAGGTTCTATTAGCCCGGTCGACATTTTGAAAGATGTGGATAGTGTTTCTTGTTATGGCCTTCACCTCTGTAGTCCCTATAGAGCTTTGGTAGACCTTGCTCTTGTTGAGGATCATCTATATTAGTATGAATTCGACTAGATTCAGGATGACACCTCAACTTCATTCGTAATTGTGAATTTGGAAACCATTCTTTAGAAACTGTTGGTGGCCAATAAGAATCATTTGAGAGATACTTAAAGTTACAACTATATATATTGTGCATAGTATACAGGCTATAACAATCATCAACGTACGAGTATCGGTCTACATTAACATGCATACATGCAACAACCTTGTGAGCACATAGGTATCTAAAGGCTTGATATCGACCACAATCATACCATCTTATATTCAGATTATCGATGTATATGGCAGAATTCCCACCTTCATGTGGTTGAACATGTAACACTCATAACCCGTATATGTCTCGAAGTACGAGTTAAAGATGTTATATAAACCTTACAAACATCTATTGAACATAAAGGCCTAAAGTTTTGTTCCATTCTAAAACTTTCATTTGTCCACTTTAAAACTATTTAATTAATCGAGTAAAATCACAAAATAATATTTACGTATATGATTCGGATATTCTAAAGTCGACCATAATAAAATAGTTCTAGTTTACTATTACAGACCATAATAAAGTAAAATCGATAAGCTAAACTAACATATATAATATGAATGCCACTAAAATTCAAAAGTAACATAAAAGTTGTCTTATTGATACTAAGAATACATATAATCTCCCAAATGATGCTCGGGAGGCTCCTCGCTTCACGTTCGATTCTTTATCCAAACCTACGTATGAAAATCATCACGTGCTAAGTAATATTTAGGGAGGCAGTAGCATAGCTAAGGTGAGATAAAATATAAATAAAAAAATTAAAACTTTCAAACCAAACCATTCAAGCCAATTTCCTATTTGAAAACCTGAAAATCACCATCTCATGATTTTGTCAAAATCATGTAAACCAACATCAGATTTAACAAACATTTCATATTCTTTTCATTTGTACATGTTTCAGAACTTTCATTTCATTTCCATATTCTTTTCTTTCATATACTTGTCATAACTTTCACATTTACATTCACATATTTGTCATAACTTTCACATTTACTTTCATAGCCTAATGTATATGTAAGAGAATGCAAGGTACGTGAGTCTATCTTACGAGTATAATGGCAGTCCAACCTTGGTAACTTGCACATTTAGTGCATTTTCATCATATGCACCCTATAGTGCTTTATAACCAGTTTGACACCTTTTATCCTTGACACCTTTTATGCCTGAATTATTTTTATTATATGCACCCCATAGTACTTGATAACCAGTTTAGCACCTTTTATGTCTCGAACCTTTAATGCCTTAATTATTTTTATCATATTCACCCCATAGTGCTATTTAATCGGTTTGGCACCTATCATGCCTGTACAGGTATTGTAGAACACAACAACACCTGTACCATAAATCCAAACTACACCACTTAACATTTTTTTTTGTTTCAACAACATACACTTATATGTTCCATAATGTACCCTATTACTTGTAATGTACTCATCAGATCGATTGATAATCACTCTACTCATGGCACCTATAATGCCAATTGTACCAAATGCTCAACACATATATAAAGGGCCTTTTAACAATTTCATAATCCATTCTTAACCATTTAACATATACCTATATTTTTGGGTAGTTCATACCCAAAATCATCCATTATATTTATCAAAATATTGTATAAAATGCTTTGGGCAGTTCATACGCTAAATAAATTATAAGTCATTTTCAATAAATAAAATAAATAAGTGAGAATGCACTCATCTTTATCTCACTACCAAACCTTTATATGATACTTCCTTACTCGCGTGCTTCCTTCTTATTTCAGGTCGTTTGGATCACTAGATTTATCGTGGTCTAACAACGTCACATATTATCATAATATATTCAAATTATATGTTAGTATCGTACTAACATAATCTAAACTTATTAATATAAAGTATGTAGAAATAAAATCGATACTTAATTGATTTAAAACTAAATCACATTTCCATAATAAATTTCAATTTTTCCCCAAAATACTCATTCGATTCCATAAATATTTATTTTCATTATCAACCCTTCAACTTTTACTAACTTTGTATTCAAGTTACTAATTATGAATTTTTATTAGAATTCATATCAAAATTTTCCATTTAGTTCATAATGATCCTTCATTATTATGATCATTTTACATTAATTACTAAAATTTACATCACTTTAATAAAATACTCAAATCAATATTTTTAACACGCAAAAAATCAACAGACCAATATAAATTTCCAGCATTAAAAATTCCATACCAAAATAATACGATCACATTTGAAAACTCACAATTAAATCCCAACTTTTGAGACTATTTGAATTCCATCACTAAGTTTACCCAAATTTGAACTTTGATCCTAAATCACCTATTTAACTTCAAATTCCAGCATTTCATCATTAAAATTCAACATTGCATACTCTAATTTAAACATTTATACATTAATGTACCACAATTTTTCCCTATTTCTTTCCTTTTGGATGAATACTTTTAAGTTTCCCTAACATGGATTACATTTTGTTTCAAGCATGAATTCATCCTCTAATAACATTTTCACCTATTTTCATCATATGCTAAATGTCATAATTATCATTCTAAGATAATAGATTTGGCTCATTTCAAATAATTAAGATAGCATATAACATAAGAGTATCATAAGATGCATAGTTTACCTCAATTTCATATTATGGCAGGTTACACTACCCTAAAAAATATTATTATGTATTAACCTAGGCACTTAAAAATTAGTCCGTTTGTACCATTAGAAACTATACTTGAATACGAATCTAACCATATAAGAAATTCTTCTAGTTCAACTCGTACAATTTATAGCGAATTTTCAAAGTTGACTTGCAGAAACTGTTTTGAGTAGAATATGCTGCCCTATTTCCCGACTTATCCTCAATTAAATATTTATATATTTTTGTATATATCTTAAAATTAATATCTGTTTGTTTTAAACAAAACTAGGCTGATATAAGAATCCAACGGCATGGAGATCATTCTCTATTCACTTCTGTATAATTTAAGGTGATTTTCTAAACTTACTATTTAAATCATAATTTCTAGACAGCTTTCTCTAATTAACATCCTTAGCTTATTCCATAATTCTATTAGCTTACCAAATGAACACACATATATATAAATTCAAGTTCTTATCACTATTTCCATGCTATCTCAATCAATTCCATAAACCCTAACTGTCACCAAATTCATCTTTAAACAATATTTCCAATTGATTTTAATCATTATTCAAGCTTAGAATTAATCAACAACATCAATAAAATAAAAATAGTCCATCAAATCTTTAAAATCAAACATGTTATTCAACCACCCAATTCATGAAACTTAACATCTAAGCATGATTTTCATGAAATTTTTATACCAAATGATAAAGAATTTCAAGAGGATTAATTCTCTATCTAATAGCTAAATCCAAAAATCAATCGAATACGCTTAAAAATCAAATTAAAAAATTTCCCATACCTAGATATGGAGCTCACGGCTGAAACAAGAAGAAGCTGATTTTTTCATGATTTTTCCACACTTATCACTTAATACACTTGTCTTTAATCTAATATAATTTAATATAAAATTCAATTTATGAGAAATTCCAATTTTGCCATTAATGAATCATGATAATTACCAAATGCCATTGGAATATCTTCCATTAAAATATCCCATAGTCAAAGATGAACCAACTTGAAGTTGACTTTCAACTTTAGCCATGAAAATTTTCAAAAATTATAATTTAGTCATTATTTTCCCAATTTCGACTAAATAGAGAAAATTATCTTCAATTCCATCTATCCATGCTAAATTTCACTATTATAAAATATGGAAATAATATTTCCAACTTTTATCTAGCATCCTTCAAAGTTTTCTGAAATTCCGGTTTGATCCAATGATCCGATTCATTATTTGACTTTATTACTTTATAGTTTTTAATACAAATCTCGAACCAAAATTCTGATTCCCCAAAAACATTTATTTGAGGATAAACTATTCATTTATGGGCTAAAATATATAAATTTTAAAAATTTCATTTTTGTTCCTTAAACTTTCAAAATTTATATTTTAGCCACTTAACTTTTAAAACTTACATTTTGGTCATTTTGAAAATTTGGGGTATTACAGAAAAAGTGTTTGGATAACATAATTAGAATTGATTCTGGAGAAATTATGAACAAACATTGATGTTGTATGTGTTTTTTTTTTGTTAATTGATTTCTTCTGATCTAGAGCCCAATTTTTGTCATCGTTGATTATTGTCTCTACTTGCGTACCTTTGTCTGCCTATACTTTACCTAATCTGAAATAAGTCTCCTGAACAATATTGACTACCAAAAGATGTCTAGTCCCTTTAAGCACTAAATTGATACATTCGGCAAGATTGGTTGTCATATGACTATTGCCATAACCATTTTTAACGAAATTAATTTAAAAAATAATTATGACTTTATTTTAGGAAAATCGAGATTTTTTATGAAATTTGATTTTTGGAGTCGCCTTCGACCTTTGGGTTAAGTAGGTTGAATACATAAAAAAAATATTTTAAAATAATTTTAAGAAAAAATTTATTTTAAGACAAAAATTGGTCTGTGTATTACCAAAAATTCAGTTTTAAGGATTCAGGAGTCGATTACGAGTGGAGAAGAAGAAGCACCTCAAAATGCCCATAATTGGTACCTTCGATTATATGTTGTCTAAAATGGTGAAATTTTATGAATTAGAATTCAAAATTTGAATTACGATCCTTTTATTTCTATGAATTTTTGAAGAATGAGGGAATCTATTTTTTTGAAAATATTTTACTCGATAAAAATGATTTAATTCATTTGGTTTTATTTAAAAATGATGTTCTCTTACTACGTGAATTAACAAAAATTAAAATCTAATCATATTAGATGTAATTCCATTAACTCACGACACATGACAATATTATCTTTAATTATTTTAGAAAATGAGAAAATAAATGCATGATTTATGATGCTGCAGTAACAAATGATATGTGAAACAATCAAAACATTAACATCATATGAAAAACGAAATGGAACAATGATAGATAACTAATAGAATAAACTAAACAAAAAATGATAATATTTAAAATAAACAATATAATAAAATAATAGTAAAGATGAATATTTATTTAATAGAGTTTAAGATAATTTCATTATATATAATAGAATAAATATGTAAAAAGACATCTTTAAAATGAAATAATTTTATATAAAAAAATATGAATAAATTTTGAATAATAATATATGTTGGGACTGCCGGCGACCCCATGGCGCAGTAGAAACAAAACGCGACGGTATCACCAGCGACATTAAATCCGAAACCGGGAGGAAGGGTTGCGATTACTTACATTGGGTTCCTTGTAAATCAGTAAAGCCAACAACAACTATAGATGATCATGAACGGTTCGAATCCTAGCCTCCATGAAAAACGTATCGACCTCTACTCAGTTCACCCGGTTGAGAGCAAAATTTAACTTTTCCAAAAATGATTTTGAAAAAACGGCTGAAGATTAAGTGAGACCGCTAGACCTTACTTATCTTTAAATATCCGAGTTACCCTAACATATTAGGGTTTTTTTTTATTTTGAATTAATTAAAATCTTATTTAATTAATTCAAATTAAATATCCATTAAAGACTTATAATCCGAATTACACTCTTTAATATTTATTTAAACTCATATTTAATTATTCCAAATTAAACATTCATTAAAAGAGTTATAATCAGAACTACATTTATTTTAATGTTTACTTACTATATTCGGGATAATTAAAATCATATGTATATCAAATATACACATATTAACTCTAGATATATATATTTTAGTAACGTACAACAAATTGTACATCTTTGCTCATTTCAACCTTAGGGTGTGACTCTGCAGGTTCTTGTAACGTTACAGTAATTATTAGAACAATTCTAATATTACAAACAATGAGTGACATCTAGCAATATATCATTGTCGCCTAAGTTACAAGAAATTATGATTCGACATATCATCTTCATGATTAACTCTTTTATGTATTACATTCTTTTGTCCTTTATATCCAGAATAGGAACAAGTCTTGAAATAGTCACACTTGTATAACCCATCTATTGTTTCATGATATCTAGAATAGACTATATTTAACGAATAATTTGTGATATCTCATATCAACTTATTCGATTACGGCCATGCATTTCTAGTTTCAGTCAATGAAGTGGCTTGTGATATATTTTCTATTATGTATAAAGGACAAATCCTATCTTAATCATGCACACCCCATTATATATATCGAGATATATTCAATAACAATCTTTATATTGCAACCAGTTACAAAGCATGTTTAACTGTATCAAAACATACAAAAATTTATGCTGAGATAGTAATGATCTCAAGTCTGATGATCATACATATAGTCATCACCATGAGCAATGTTGTGACTTTCACATAATAATCCAAGACATATGCTCATAGTGGGTCAATCTAATGCATTGTTCTCTAATAATATAATCATGTATCAATTCTGACATCTCTATGTCAATGACAACTCATTGTCATCAATCAATAACATGTTATTCTTAATTGTTTTATTATTGTCCATGCCCATAATAATACTTGACTAAGGATCTTTTAATAATAATAATTACATTATTATATGGACTCTACTATCTTTCAGTTTATGTTAAATACATATATTTAATTGAAAATAATAGTGGAAATGCCTTTATTCAATTAATTCAGTAAATAAAATGTATCATTACAATCATCATATGATTGGTCTTTGGGCGTACTCTAACAATCTCTCACTAGCACTAAGACCAATCACTAATATGTCTAATACTGAGTGACTCAGTGTGACAATCATGCTTCTGCTGTGTTAGAGGCTTCATCAAGGGATCAACAATGTTGTAATCCGTGTGTACTCTACACATTTCCACATCTCCTCGATCCATGATTTTTCGAATGAGATGGAAGCGCCTAAGAATATGTTTGGATCGTTGATGAGATCTGGGTTCCTTTGCTTGTGAAATGGCTCCATTGTTATCACAATGAAGTTCTACAACATCTGACATGCTAGGAATAACCCCTAATTCGGATATGAACTTCTTGGTCCAAACAACCTTTTTTGCTGCTTTACTGGCTGGAATATACTCAGCCTTTGTTGTAGAATCAACTATTGTGTCTTCCTTTGAACTTTCTAGCTCACATCACCTCCATTAAGATAAAACTCAAAACCCGATTGTGATCGTAAGTCGTCCTTGTTGGTTTAGAAGCTGGCATAAGTATAATATTTTAGACTAAGCTCTTCTTCACCTCCATAGACAAGAAAATTATCCTTAGTTCTTCTTAAGTACTTAAGGATATTTTTAACTGCAACCCAGTGTTTTTCACTAGGATTTGCCTTATACCGACTCATCATGCTCAAAGCATATGATACATCTAGTTGAGTACATATCATGGCATACATGATAGATCCAATAGCCAAAGCATATGGAATCTTACTCATTCGTTCTCTTTCTTATGGTGTCGAATGAGACATTTCCTTCGAAAGAAAAATACATGTCTCATAGGAAAGAATCCTTTCTTGGATTCTTTTAAACTGAACATTTTCAACACTTTATCTATACATGTACTTTGACTTAGACCTAGAAGTCATCTAGATCTATCTCTATAGATCTTAACTCCTAAGACATAAGCTGCCTCACCCAAATCTTTCATAGAATGTAACTAGCTAACCATGTCTTAACAGACTGTAAAATAGATATATCATTTCTTATGATGAGTATGTCGTCTACATACAAGATTAGGAAAGAAACAATACTCCAGTCTTAACAGACTGTAAAATAGTTATATCATTTCTTATGATGAGTATGTCATATACATACAAGACTAGGAAAGAAACAATGCTCCCATTATATATCTTATAAACACAAGGCTCATATACTTTTCTGATAAAACCAAACTCTTTGATTGTATCATTGAAACGAAGATTCCAACTTCGAGAACATAAATAGACCTCTGTAGCTTGCAAACCTTTCCAGTATTTCCTAGAGCGACATAACCTTCTGGTTGTGTCATAAACACATCATCTTCGAATATTTTGTTAAGGAAAGTAGTTTTGATATCCATTTGCCAGATTTAATAATCATGGAATGCAACTATTGTAAGCAAAATTTGGATGGATTTAAACATAGCAACAGGGGAAAAGGTTTCTTCATAGTCTATACCATGAACTTGTCGAAAACCTTTAGCGACTAATTGCCCCTTTTATGTTTGTAAGTTACCATCCATATCCGTTTTCTTCTTAAAATCCATTTACACCCTATAGG